GCCGCAAGCAAGAGTGCGACCTTCCTTCCAGTGGCCCGTATAATCAAATCATTGGCTCTCTTCTGTGGGTTTCGCAATGCACACGTCCCGACATTTCCTTTGCTGTTAACCGTCTCTCTCAGCACCTGCGAGATCCCTCCGATGCTCATTGGTCGGCAGCCGTGCGCATTCTTAATTATCTGGTCACCACTAAACATCTGAAACTCAAATTAGGTGGTCAACTCTCGTGCTTTGGGTTCTACGATTCGGACTGGGCGGAAGACAGAGATGACCGCAAGTCTACTTCAGCCTATACTTTTTGCATTGGTGATGGTGCCATTTCCTGGAAATCACGTAAACAGGCCACCGTCTCACTCTCCAGCACTGAAGCAGAGTACAAGGCAATCTCTGATTCCTGCAAAGAAGGTCTTTGGCTTCGACATGTCCTCTCAGAACTACGCCTTCGTCCCGGCACCGCCATTCCTATTCATGTGGACAACGAAGGAGCAGAAGCATTGGCCAAAAATCCAGAACATCACGCCCGCACTAAACACATTCATGCTCGTTATCATTTTGTCAGGGAATGTCTTGCAGATGAAGAGATAACTCTTCTTCATGTCTCGACAAAAGAAATGCTTGCCGACATGCTCACTAAACCCCTCTCCCGTCTCATGCTGGAACGTCATCGTGAAATGTTTGGATTGGTTGCCTAATTTTTTTTTTTTCTCTTTCTTTCTTCTCCTCCTTTGTTTGATTTTTTTTTCTCTTTTCTCTTTTCTCAATTTTTCCTTTCTTCTTCTTCTTCTTCTTCAGGTCTTCAGCAAGGGGGGGTGTTGGAGTAGTGTTTTCTTTCTCCTTTCTCTTTCTCTGCTTCATACCTGTTTCAGACCTGTCACTCATCTGTCACAGGATTCAGACTATACCTGGGCCAGAGTACGTGGAAGGATTCCTCTCCTCATCCTTCCACAAAACCTTTCTCTGACCCAGGTATGCACTTCTCTTTTCTTTCTCTTTTCTTTCTCTTTTCTTTTCTTCCTTTTTGTGTCTCTCTATGTTTTGTTTCTCTCTGCTGATGCAATACAAAACTTATCCTTCCACAAAACCTTTCTCTGACCCAGTTGAGTCCAACAGATCCTTCAAATCAATTTTGGGAAAATGACCTTTGAAATTTGCAGCCAGAACACTTCTCCAGTTTCTTTCAAAGGATGTAAATTGAAAAATAAATTCCTCATCATAAATGAATCTTTTGGACCATTTTTGGTTTTCTTCCCTCTTATAGTGAAAAGTACACGATAGACAGCTTCATTTATTGCCAATTCTTTATTTTCAATGAGACAAGGTAGTTCTTGAACTGCTTTAGGGATTGCTATATATAAAGGTCTCTATATCTGGACCAGTATAAATAAATCTTGCTATCTTGAGGTAAACCTCACTTTTGAGTATCGCCGTTCGAGTTTTGTTGGAGTCGTTGGGTGCGGTCCAACAGCTTCCCTCTTCACATTGAAATTTGAGGCTCGAGCTGGCATGATCTGTGTCAGCTTGCCAAGCATGATATATCCTTGTTCAGGTGGCATAGAGCACAGTGAGGACATATCCATCCTGCTTGGCAAGCCCGGCCGATATGTACTACACAGCTCGGTGAGCTGGATACACCTTCGGCGAGCTGACACGGCTTTGACCGGCTCTCCCAAGAGGCATCCTCCTCACTGAGGGCCAATACCAGCTCTGTGAAGAGGTTTCCTCTTCTCCGAGGAAAACATCTTTCACTGGCATGTATAATAATTATCACCCAGCTGGTATCACCTGCCGGCCTAGCATGTACTCCAAGAGAATTAGCTCTCCCCAGTAAGCTAACTACCCAAGTCAAAAATTAATACCCCGTTCCCAGGAAGGATTGAACACTTGACCTGGACTGTTGATGGACTTTCTATTATAGTCGACTCTCCTCTGGCAAGCCAGATTGTTGAACGTAGACGAATCCACCAGGGCGCTTACCGATTGCGCTACGGGGCCGCTGACTGTCTTGGTGAGGCATTGATTTAAGTAGGTTGCGGGCTATATTTTAGGACAAAGGATAGAATAGATACATAGTACAATAATTTACCGGTGAGTCGTGGGTCAGCGTGAGGACTGTTTACAGAGGCGACTCGCGACTCTTTAATTACGGCCCCTGCAAGCTGGGAGATCAAGCCAACCGTTAAAATGATTCTACTGATTGCAACTTGTACGAAATATGTTGTCATTTGCTCAGATACTCAAAGAGTAAGAATGATAAGAAAAAATACGCAACAAAAACAGAAGTTGATTGAGAAGAAGTCCCTCACGTCAAACGCAAAAGCAAGATTGAGAGTAGAAACGTTAGCATAAAGCAAATGAGAAGGAAAGCAGGGTGTAATATATCCAAGAAAGTAAATGTTCATCATTTTCGTTGGTGAGTAAGATTTCCATCTCTTGATGACCGACTGAAATCGAGGACTTATTTTGAGCAGTTTTAAGTACTTATTTTAGAGCTAGCTGAGTACAACCTCCCGAGTCCCAAGTTCCAAAAGTACATAAAGCCCTCCGGAAGTTCCGCGAATAAATTGAAAACCCCCAAGGAGATCACGACTGCCAAGACACATTTTGGTAAAAAGAACAGATAGTCCAGCGGCGACGATAATCGTCAAACCGGTGATGATCGAAGCCTTTGGAGTTTGACTACCAGCGGTTGTGTTTAACCTACTCCCCAAGATTGAGTCATATGCTAATGTGGGACAAAGATATGTAACAATTGGAAAGTCAATTTTCGAAAGTCAACCCTAAGAAGTGGAAAAGAGGGGGAATTTTTATCAGGCATATCTCCCATCACAAAGGATGTGGCTATGTTTGCTGCTCCCAGAACCACTAGTTCCCTGTTGGCACTGATATGTAGAGTAGTGGACTCTGGCAGCTTCACCCTTTGCTGCAACGATTGAATCAACAAGACCGCAGAAGCGTATCTTTAACAAGTTTTTTTGGAGGCACATCTTCTTGGAATCTTGCCCTTCAGGACTTCCAAGCCATGAGGAACGGAGATGAAATCTTTCACTTCTTCCCTTTATTATCAAACTTCAAAGCCAGTTGAATAAGTTTCTTTGATATGAAATTCAAACTGATCCCCAGGAATACTATGAACCTGCCTTTGAATGAGAGAAATCCAAGTCCAACACTTGGGGCTTAGTTTTACGCTTGGATTGAATCCAATCATTGAGAAGGCCTTAAGTTTTTTCAACCTTGGGTTGATTGTTTTGTGCAAACCATGTGGACCATTCTCCATTTCTTCTATTTGAGACCACCCAATCACTTGAATCAATCAAGGTCTCTTTCCCTGAATTCATTCTTGGACTTCAATATTAATTGCTGCACATTTAGTTTGGGAGGAAATTCCTGATTTCAATATTTTTTCAGTCTGAGCAGAATTTCTAATCAATTCACAGGATTGGTTGAATTTTCCTTTCTTGGTTTTGGGAGTCGTTGGAATCTTTTAATGGCTAATTTCTCCCAAGGATAGAGTAAGACTTGAGTCTGTATCCAAATTAGAGCCTGCGGCAAACCAATCAAAGATCAAATTAGTTTTGAGACTTTCCAATCCTGCTTATATTAATGATACAATTCTTGGGTCCAATGTGCAATAACATCTTTTGCAATTTTCTTATCAATGTCATGAAGAAAAATATGAACACGTACAATTGTGCGGCCATCTTAGCAACCCAAGACTAGGTGATCTGGTCAATTTTCCGTCAGCTTCAGGGAGAGCCAAGGATAAGGCAAGGCTCAACCTTTGATGTTGGGGAGCGGACTGAAAACTTTCCTCAAAATTGCGGGCTGGTCACTGATGGGACGGCCTTTTTTGGCCTGGCATACTGTTATCATCCTTGATTTCATGATCATTTGCAGCATGATCTGGTTCATAACTCCCAACAACTATATACAGTTACTTAGTTTCTATTTGTCTCTCACACTAAGGTTATAATCACAAGCACCAACAGAACCCATGGACTTACCATTCAATAGATCCAAGTTTTCTGATTGTTTGGCTAGTTCTGTGATTGAAGCCTAAAGCTGTTTTTATTGGGGCATTCTAAGTCCGGAAGGGTTTTTATCCGGGCAAGTAGCGTGCAAGAAACTCACCTTGATGATTCAGATATGCCGAGTGATTTTCAACCCAACTTGTCCTGGCTTCATCCAATTTTGTATCTATGAAATTGATAAGAGTTGGCAGCAAGCTTGTTGAGACAAAGACAGGGTAGTAAATTAAGGCTATCAACCCAAACTGGCCAGGATTCCTCATCTTATTTTTTAAAAAAAATGTATCCCACAAATGTTAGCTGGTAGAGAAGTATGAAGGGGGAAACTTGATGATTTGACCTCATCTGAGATGCTCATTTTCCATAGAATTCAGAGGGCTTGGCTGACAGATGTTTAATAACTCAAATCTCAGCCAATCTCCATGGCTAGCAAGGTTGACTTGAGAAAACACCTGTAAAGAGCAAAACTGAAATGAAAGCATGACATCTCTCTGCTCATGCCATAGGATAAAATAATGAATTGATTACAAATGATTGTCCTTATTAATCCAAAATAACGTTGGAGCTTGCTGCCCACTTGATATACTCATCAGACATTGACAAAATGCCAACAGATTCACAATTTCCTTGGTACGTATATGTACGCTCTCCTTAGGCAAGACCTCCATCAATATTTTTGCAGGGAGATGCCAGGATCTGCCTATCACTATCAGGGAGTGTTAGCAAGGGTGGTCTTTGGACGCTTGCCTCCACGGCACCGTTGGTCCATATTTGTATGTAATCCCGTTAAAAAGAGAAATTGGACAAGTGAAAGTGCTGCGAGGCAACCACTTGCGCCGCAGCGTCCGAATCGTCAAATCGTTTTATTCGCCCGCGCCCTGCAGATTTCATCGCGGATCAGGGGATTTTAGACATTCCGCAGCACTATTTGAGGGCGGGGTTAGGTTTGCTCAAGTGTGATAGAGAAATTTGGACGTTGGAACCCTAACCGGGTCAGCCTTCACCCAGAAGCTCTGTCAGGCCGCCCTCACGCTTCGCCCCCACCCAGCAAGACCTCCGACCGACACCGACTCAAGCCGAAGGGAATCCTCTGAACCATCAAGATGGCGAGTCTCTTCTCTTTCTCTCGGGATTGTGGAATTGGCGTGCTGTTGAGTCACTTCTAGTGCTCATCAAAGCCATCAAGTACCACCTTCGGGTGCAACTCTCCGAGTCCTGACTTGATGGCCGACCCACCCAATCGATCCATGATACCAACATCCGCGTTGGCCATCATACATGTCTTCCTCAGAAGCCTCGTATTGTCCAGACCTAATCTTATACATTTATCTTGATTCAATCGATCTTTACAGGGTGTCGATATCGTCAAGCATCACGTCAGGAAGGGACACCGAACTGCCCCCAAATCTGAGGACCCTTACCTCCTTCTCTTGGTCAAGGTACGCTTTCTTGGTCGTCACCACATTCACCGTATGAGGTTTATGGCACTAACGATTTGTTGTCTTCTAGCTCTACCGCTTCTTGGCCCGAAGAACTGAGAGCAGCTTCAACAAAGTTGTGCTACGTCGACTCTACATGAGCAAGATCAACCGTCCCCCAATGTCGGTCTCGCGTATCGCCCGTACTGTCAAAGACACCCGTGAGTGCTTCCCCCTCTCAACCACTCCCGAGACCTTTTCACAGCTGATCATAGACCTACCCACTTAATATCTAGCCGGAAAAACCGTTGTTGTGGTCTCGACTGTGACCGATGATGTTAGATTGGTTGAAGTCCCCAAACTATCGATCGCCGCTCTCCGTTTCACTGCTACTGCGCGAGCTCGCATCTTGGCTGCTGGTGGTGAATGCCTCACCTTGGACCAACTCGCTTTGAGATGTCCAACCGGTTCCAACACTGTCTTGCTCCGAGGCAAACGAAACTCGCGAGAAGCCGTTCGCCATTTCGGTCACGGTCCTCACAAGCACAAGCGTCCCTACGTCTTGTCCAAGGGCCGCAAATTCGGTACGTCATCACACTCGATCGCCGGGGTCCCTTCTTTTTACCTCACTGACTTATTCCTCATCAATCAAACTCTTTTCCCTCACAGAAAAGGCCCGAGGTCGCAGAAAATCCAGAGGCTTCAAAGTCTAGATATTCTACATGTCATTTACGTCTTGTGGATCGATATGGCGCCCTGGTCTCTTTGGATTACAAGTGTTGATCATCATCGCATTGCTCATGCCTTAACGTATTGTGCCTGCACCCTAACAACCCCCATCCCACTTATGCCCCCAGAAATCCAATCCGTTTGCTACTGCAGATCTATGCCTCACTCAAATCAGCTCAGGGCCTCTTGTGAGATTCAGAATGACTGTTGGTCAATCCAGTCGTTTGAGCAAATGGGATTCACACCGCGGCTTGAGTGGTCGCAGCGTTACCACTTCAGAGTCTCAATTTGATGCTGTGAACCCCGGTGTTGAGCGGCATCCCCCTGGTCTCAAAATAGTGGGTTGTCCAGTAACCTCGAGCTCTATTGTAGTGTACAATCCCCATTCAGATGTAAGATACAACAAAAAACATGGACCTGGTCACATCTGCATGCTCAAAACAGGACATTGGGGCTTTTGTTGAATTTTTATCAAGCCAAACATTTTAGGCTTTGTTTGGCCCTCCACAATCGTCATAGATCTTCATTGCAAATTGTCAAATCAGAATCTAGGTTTGATTCTTTCAGGCTGTGCAAATGCCACAGCCTGTAAATCCATGTCAGTAAGAGCATCTCCACCGCGGGCCCTATTTGCGGGGCCCTATATGCCTCCAATAGGGACCGAAAAAAATGGATAGCGACCGAGCCGGGGTTTTTTTTCCACCGCTAGCGGGTGTATTGGCCTTAAAAGTTGGTGAAAGCCGATCGGTCGGAGTTGTAGTGTGCTTGAGGATGTGTGAAACCTTCCGATGTTGGAAGGTTCACACGGGATGGGACCGATCAGCCGGGCCCTATCGAGTCTGTATATATACAGCTTGATAGGGACTTTCAACCCTGGTCCCTATTATAGGGCCCCACATAGGGGCCGCGGTGGCTGTGGTTTTGGGACTCGCGGGCCCTATATGTGGGATAGGGCCCCTACATAGGGCCCGCGGTGGAGATGCTCTAACAATGTGGCTGTTTGGTGCACCTCAGGAGTGGATGATTGGAAGAGCGGTTTAGGAGGACAGGGAGGCATTGTGTCAGTCAGGACTCAGAAGGGGTAGTGTGCAGCTGGGGGTAATATGGAGCTGTTGTAAGGGAAAGCAGAGGGTGATGAGAGCACAGAAATGGCACTTAGAGCAATTCCACCGCGGGCGCTAAATTGGGTCGCTAGCGGAATTTCCCGCTCCTCGCGGCCACGCGGCCGCATTCATCCCTTAACTTTCGGCCGTCCTAAATTTGTTTGCGGCCCCTGCTTTGGGACTCCTAGCGATCACCTTCCTCATCAAAATCCACTTCCACAGGCTGAAAAAATTTGTGAAATCCCAATTCATCAATCAGTCACACCCCCGATTTATCAGATATCATCTATATCCGGCCATGGCAACACCAATCAACATTGTTCTTGACCCTGCTCTCCCAAGCTCTCATGCCAGAAAACAACAATACCACTACCAAAATGGAACTTTCTTCGGCTCCGACGAAACCGTCTCGAAAAAGAAATATCTCGTCAGGAGGAGATGGTCAGTAGGATATGTATGAATCTTATTAGGGCTTTGACTGATTCATACTGTGTTTCAGACTTGTCTTCTATCAGTATCTCAAAGCCAAAGAATACGAAAACAGCAGCTGTGAAACCGAAACCCCCCCAAAAAAACTTCAAAGAAAAAAAGCCAGGAAACTCCAAAAGAAACCAGAAATGAGGAGGAACAAACGGTGATACCCGATGAAGAAAGACAACGTGAAGGTGGAGAAGAAGGTGATTCCGAAGACGAAGACGAGTCTGAAAAACAAGCACGTGCTCCTAACTATCTGGAGCATGAGGATCTCCAGCTCTGTACCTCGTGGCTCGAAACGACTGAAGATGGGCAAAAAGATACCAACCAAACCGGCACTGCCTTCTGGGAAACGGTTGCAAATCACTATTGATCAAAGATTCCCAAACCCTTTCATCCCTTGAAGAGTATCAAAGGACATTGGGGCCTCATACAAGCTGCACTCAACAAATTTCACAGATGTGTGAACCAAATCAACCATTGGAACCCAAGGGGGAATGATAAGTGCACGCCATCCCCCCTCGAGCACGCCAAACTGCACGCCAAAGCAGATTGGCGTGCAGGTGCGCACGCCAGTGTGCAGCAGGGTAGATTGGCCTGCAGTTGGCGTGCAGGCCTGCACGCCAATCTGGGTCCTAAACCATATAAATATGGGTTGAGGACTGGGGCTATCCCATAGGACCCAGGCATGGGTCCTATGGAATAGCCCATGGAGAAAGTGCAAAAGGGGAAAAAAAAAGTTTTTGGGCTGGGAGGAACCCCTCCCAGGCGAAAGGCTGTCCAGTCTCACGGCCGGGAGGGGTTCCTCCCGACCTTGAGACTGTACATGGCTGTACATGGCTCAAGGCCGAGAGGAATCTCTCTCGGCCTTGAGACTGTACATGGCTCAAGGCCGAGAGGGATTCCTCTTGGCGTTGAGACTCTACAGTCTCAAGGCCGAGAGGGATTCCTCTCGGCCTCGAGACTCTACAGTCTCAAGGCCGAGAGGTTTCTCCTCGTCGACCTTGAGACTATTCCCTCCTGGCGGCGAGGTTGTACAACCTCGCCTGG